TTCTGCTATTACATCTTCTTTGACCCATGGCTTATATTATTTACTTTTGAAGCATTTGGGGATTTCTTGTTATATTTTTATTTTAAATTTCATTTCATTTCTTTTTTAAAAGATTTTATTTGATTTTTTGACACAGAGAGAGAGACAGTGAGAGAGGGAACACAAGCAGGGGGAGTGGGAGAGGGAGAAGCAGGCCTCCAGCAGGAGGCTCGATCCCAGGACTCTGAGATCATGACCTGGGCCAAAGGCAGATGCTTAACGACTGAGCCACCCAGGTGCCCCTCATCTCATTTCATTTTAAGTAGGCTCCACATCCAGCATGGAGCCCAACATGGGGCTTGAACTCACAACTGTGAGATGAAGACCTGAGCTGAGATCAAGAGTCAGACACTTAACTGACTGAGCCAGAATTAATTCTGTCTTAATTCCAATGTCAAAAAGCATACTCTGAGTCATTTCAATTTTTTTTAAAAATTTTTGAGGTTTGTTTTTGACCAGAATATGGATAATTTTTATATATTTCATATGCACGTTAAATATCATGTATTCTCCAGTGTGCTGTGTATGTCAGTTTATTCCAATATGATTATTGTGTTGCTCAGATTTTTAATATTCTTAGTGTTTGTGTGTATATGTCTTCTTATTCTCTCAGGAATCAAGAGAGTTGTATTAAGTCTGCTATGACGGTGGATTTGTCTATTTTTCATTTCTATTCTCTCAGTTTAACTTTATATATTTTGTAATTCTTATGAGCATATATTCAGGCTCAGAACTGATATAATACTGGTGGATTTACTTCTTTATCATTATGAAACATCTCTTTTATCTCTATACATGTAATGCATCTTTCCTCAAAGTCTCCTTTGTCTTACATGAATACAGCTACACTAGGTTTATTTTGGTTAGTGTCTGTATTATATCTTTTCCTATTTTTTTAACTTTCAACCTTTTTGTGTATCTCACACAAAAACACATATTTATGATGGCATATACAATAGTTGAACTTTTCTTATACTTAGCCTGAAAATTTTTGGTTGTTTAATGGGATCATTTAACCTAATCACAATTAATGTAATATTTGATAATTCTTCATTAATATTTACCATCTTTTTTTATTTGTCTCTAAAGTATCATTCTTTTTTGGATTATTCAGATATATGTTATTTTTCATTTTCCTTCAATTAGTGTTTTAGTTAATCTTGTAGTAATTATTCTACAGATTAAAGCATGCATCTTTGATCTACAAGAGTATAACAATTTTTTTAATTTTACTATTTCCATGATAATGCTTAAAACTCATTAACTGTATCTATACCATCTTCCTTTTACATTATTATTGTCATGAATTTAAACTTTATATATATTTTAAATCTTTTAAGAAACTACTATTTTTGCCTTCTATAGTCAATATTAATTTATATTTACCCTTCCTGTTGCTGTTCATTTCTTCCTGCAAGTCTGATTCCTTTAGGACTGTTTTCCCTCTGCCCAGTGAATTCCACTAAAAGTATTTCTTTTAGTGCAGATGTGACTGTGATTAATTCTCTTGGTTTTTGTTTGAAAACTGTATTTTTGAAATATATATTTTCTGGTAATATAAGATTGCTAGTCTGTTTTTTTTCCCATGACCTTAAAGGCATCATTTCTTGGCCCTTTGGTTTCATGATTTCTGTGGAAAAGTCAGCTCTCCATTTTATTGTTGCTCCTTTAAGAGTAATGTGTCATTTTTTGGTAGTTGCTTTTAAGGTTTCTCTTTGACTCTGGTCTTCAGCATCTTTCCTATGATATGTCTAGGTGTACTTTGTATTTTATTTCTCTTGATTTGGTTTCCCCAAGCATCTTGAGTGGTGAAGGATTTTCACAAATTTTGGAAAATTCTTGGTCATTCTCTCTTCAAACATTGCTTATTCTCTATTCCTAGTATCTCCTCTCCTTTTAGGATTACAGTCATATGTATGTTAGAGTTTTTCATTATATCCCACATGTCACTAATGTTCTTTTCTGTATTTTTCATTATTTTCTCCTATGCTTCTATTTGGATATTTTATATTGGTTTGTCTTGCATTCACTGATCCTGTATTCCTTTATGTCCACTAAGTCATAAACTACCTAAATCGTTTTTAATTCCAGATTTTATTTTTTTCAGTTCTATAATGAATTTCCATTTTAAATTTCAATTCTCTAGTGAAATTCTCTTTTATTTCTTTTCTCTATTCTTTATTTGTAACCTATTAGTCACACTTATTTTAACATCACTGTCAGTAAATTTTAGTATTTGTTTCTTCTTTGGGTCATTTGTATTGTCTGGTTTTTTTCTCTCTAGGTTTTATTCATGTTAACCAGTTGTTTTTTTTTTTTTGTATGTGTGACTAGTAGTTTTTTTATTGAATATGGAATATTTATGTAAAAAGCTCTCCAGGATCCAGATGATATTATTTTTTTCCAAAAAGAGTTCACCTTTTCCTCTGTTAACTTGATAGAGACATGTCTCATCAAATTTCATTAATCCAAACAGGCACTGTGCTTAGTCAAGGTGCTTTGCAGTCCTGATAAGCACCTAATGCTCCAGAATGATCAGTTGAGAACTTAGTTTATTTTCCACAGTCCCTTCCCATGACAGGTTCTAAACCCTAATTTTTATGTATCAAGACTATCAAAACTGACTCTGCTGTTCAGAGATTTTTTTTTACTTAGGCTTTTAGTCTTCTTCCCTGGAATGTCCCTGAGTTTGACAAGTATCTTGAGGGGAAAAATTGGCCATGGGCTTGAATCTTCCAGTCTGCCAAAGGCTACTGAAGTTGCTCTAGCCTGCAGCAGGAGCCTTTTGTCTGTTCTAAGACTTAGCAGAGTTCCTCAGGGCAAACTGACTGTAAAAGTCAGTTCACAACTCCAAGAAATCTTAGCCATTTGAGTTCTTTTTCTTTTTTTAAGATTTTATTTATTTATTTGACAGAGAGACACAGCGAGAGAAGGAACACAAGCAGGGGGAGTGGGAGAGGGAGAAGCAGGCCTCCTTTGGAGCAGGGAACCCGATGCAGGGCTCTATCCCAGGACCCTGGGACCATGACCCCAGCTGAAGGCAGATGCTTAACAACTGAGTCACCCAGGCACCCCATCCCTTTGAGTTCTTATTATATCATCTGCTGTCTGTTGCTTCAAACAGATAATTTCTGAATTTTAACAAGTTTTTATGGTTGTTTCTGCTATTAGGTAATCCATCCATTCTACCTGGAAGCAGACTTCCACCAAACAACTACATAAGTTTTAACCTCAGCCTGCTTAAAATCTGTATTTTGCAACTTTCAGTAGTAAAGGAAGAGGTGGGTTTTGAAGTGATGTGGGCCTTACAGTGCCTTTAGTAAAAGTTCTGCCCCCCAAACAGCATATGTTCAACTCACTATATGCTGTGCCTAAAATAATAAAGGAATTGTAAAAGATGTATATAAAAGATGGATGTTAGCTAAACCTACTGTGTGTGGAAGTTATTTCACAATATATGTAATTCAAAGCATAATGCTGTACACCTTAAATTTACACAGTGATGTATTTCAATTATTTTTCACTAAAACTGGGAAGATGTACTTCTAAAAGAAGCATGTGAGAAAACATAGGATTGAAATGAACGTTATTATCAAAATATTTGGCCTCCATTCTTTATTTTTGTTTTGCAGCAATAGAACTGGCCGATTTTTCATAAAGTATGCATTTTGTGGAAGTTTTTTGGATCACACTTACTATTAAATTCTACTTATTGAATTTCAAAATATTGATCCATTCTACACCAAAGCCTGGTGTAAGGAATGACTTGTGTTTTATGAATTACACACAGTAATCAATAAAATAATACACAAAGTAATTCACAAATTTACACAGAAATTCATAAAGGTGGGTTTGGGTGTTTATTTGGCCAGTCTCATTTGGGCAATTATACAAACAACTTTTCTGACATAAAAAAAGGGGGACTTGGATTTTCATAATGTTGAAATATACTGGTGAAAACTTCAATAAGATTTCTCATCATCATATATAAAAGTTATTCATTTAAATAGCTAGGAAATGGAGTAGTCATTAAAGTTGACTACCATATTTTTGTCTATATATATACTATTTATGTCTATAAATATATAAAACCAAAAGAAACATGTACATTAAATTACACTTGAACTTCTATTTATAGGGCAAAAGGAAGGACAAGGAAGATATGATATCCTTCATATCTTGAATTCTTTGAAAGGATTTAAGGTTTATTTAAGGTTCTGAAATTGTCTTAAAGGATCTTACCAAGCAGTGACTTAGTTTTGGTTAGTGAGTGTGCCAAATTACAGAAATTTTCATTATTACTTATAAATGAGAATAATTTTTTTAAATTTAATATTAATAATTATGGAACACATACAGTATGCTAGGTAAGTAGCAATCATATACATTTTTTAAATTCTAGCAAGTATGGTGTTCACAATAGGAAGTCACAATTTTAGTGTCTTAATATTTTAATCAAAGTGCATGTTTATGTACAATTTCAGAGAAACAAGTAGGTTAAGTTATATGCTGATGGCTTTTCAGGGGGATAGCCTGGAGAATAGTCAAAAAGGCCTAGGTAGCTAAAGGAATTTCAAACACCCCAAAGGTAAAGCTAATGGTAGAAACAAACACCACAAACATATAGAAATGCACAATTACACAAAAGCTTTAAGACAGTAAGGAGTTGATTTAAATAAAAATTTCTTAAACTACTTGAGTAATTTATGGTTATGGAAAGATTAATCACCAAGAGAAGGTCAAATATAGAGAATATACATACTCCATAACCAGTGTAACTGAAAATGCTAAGTCCAGTGAATATTAATAGAAGGAGGGAAATTTAGCCCAATCAGGGACATGCATAAGTTTGGAATAGAGATATACATATATAGACAACAAAATTTCTTAAAAGAAAGGAATTGCAATGGGAGTTCGGTTTGCCAAAATTAAGGAGAGGCTGACTTGACCAAATACACTCTTCAACTGAATACAAAGCTATTCCTGCAGTTGGGGTTTTCTTGAATTTCTCTTTCAGTGTCCTCAATCAAGAGGCTGGGAAATACCGGCTTGAGGAATTTGAACTCACCAGTCCTAGGAACTCCCGTCAGACACACGTCATACTGGTAGCTGTGGGACAGGGTCCCCGCGCCGCTGACGTCCACCAGGTGGCCCGGAAAGGGGCCCTCGGGCACCGAGCCGCCGCCCCCCGACGCCGCCCGGCTCCTCCTGCACAGCCGCACCGCCACGAACACCAGCACCGAGAACAGGAAGAGCGACGACACCGACGCCAAGGCGACCACCAGGTAGACGGTGAGCGGGTCGGCGCGGGCCTCGGCCGCCGCCGCGTCCGGGAGCGGCAGGTAGGGCTGCGAGAAGCCGTCCACCAGCAGCACGTGCAGCGTGACGCTGGCCGACAGCGGCGGCTCGCCATTGTCCTTGACCAGCACCACCAGCCTGTGCTTGACGGCGTCGCGCTCGCTCAGCAGCCTGGCCGTGCGCACCTCGCCGCTGTGCGCCCACACGCCGAACAGCCCGGGCTCCGTGGCCTTGAGCAGCTGGTACGACAGCCAGGCGTTCTGGCCCGAGTCGCCGTCCACCGCCACCACCTTGGTCACCAGGTAGCCCGCCTCGGCCGCCCTGGGCACCAGCTCGGTGCAGGGCGCGGAGCCGTTCTGCAGCGGGTACAGCACGAAGGGCGAGTTGTCGTTGTCGTCCACCACCAGCACGCGCACCAGCGCCTGGCTGCTGAGCGCCGGCGAGCCGCGGTCGGCCGCGCCCACGCGGAACTCGAACGCCCGCAGCGCCTCGAAATCCAGGGACCTGAGCGCGAACAGCTGCCCGTTGTCCGCGTTGATGGACACCAGCGAGGCCAGCGGCAGCTGCGGGTCCTGGGGCGGCAGCAGCGAGTAGGTGACCTGCGCGTTGGCGCCCGAGTCTCTGTCCGTGGCGCTCACGCTGCCGATGTGCAGGGCGGGGCTGTTGTTCTCGCGCACCCGCAGGGTGTAGGCGGCTTGGCTGAAGGCCGGGGCGTTGTCGTTGACGTCGGAGACCGTCACCGTTATGTTGTGCTGGGTTTTCAGCCTGGGGGTCCCCAGGTCGGTGACGGTGATGGTGATGTTGTACTCGGCCTGGCTCTCTCTGTCCAGTGGTCTCTCCGTAACTAGGGTGTAAAAGTTCTTGAAAGTCGGTTTCAGAAGGAAGGGCAGATTATCTGGTATAGAGCAAATCATCTTTCCATTGTCTCCAGAGTCTCGATCTCGAATTCTGAAGATAGAGACTACAGTCTCAGGAGCATTTTCTGGGACGGAGCTGATGAGTGAAGATATGGTAAGTTCAGGGGCGTTGTCGTTCACATCCACCACATCTATGAATACAGTGCCTTTTCCAGAAAGGCCTCCTCCGTCTGTAGCCTCAATTTCCACGTGGTAAGATTTAATTTGTTCAAAATCCAGTTTCTTTGTCAGTCGGATTTCTCCTGTGACTTCATTTATTGAGAAAGTTTGTTTAATTTCATCTGATGCTTGGAACAAGCCATAGGAAACACTCCCGAAGTTTCCAGCATCTACATCTCTAGCTGAGACACTAAGTACTGGGGAGTCTAGGGGGTTGTTTTCCAAGACCTGCACTTCATATGGGGTGTGCACAAACTCTGGAGCATTGTCATTGACGTCCATGATCAGGATTCGCACTGTGATGGTGCCAGACTTAGGTGGAGACCCACCATCCAGTGCCGTGAGGGTTAAGCTGAACTCAGGCTGCTCTTCTCGATCCAGCGGTTTGTCCTGCACCAAATCTGGGTATTTCTTGCCTTCACTATGATTTCGAGTTAGAACATGAAAATGAGAATTGGGGCTGATAGTGTATTTTTGAAGACCGTTGCTGCCCACATCCAAATCCTGAGCTAATTTCAACGGAAACAGAGTCCCTGGCTGGCTGTTTTCCGGTATTTTCAAGAGCATTTCCCCAGTCGGGAATACTGGGGAGTGGTCATTTATGTCCTGAATTGATAATTCTCCTTCAAAAAATTGAACCGGCGTTTCTAGGAACACTTGGAAATGCAGTACACACGGTTCAATAGGACCACATAGCTCTTCCCGGTCTAGTTTCTCCCTCAAAAGCAAATCTCCAGTCTGACGATCCAGCTGCAAGCGCTGTTTGTCATCGTCAGACACCACCCGGGCCGACCGGGCGGCCAGTTCCCCAATTTCCAGGCCCAGATCCTTGGTCAGATGGGCTACAAAGAAGCCACTCTCTGTTTCTTCCATCACAGAATAACGAATAGGCTCAGCAAGAGCCTGAGAAAAGAACACCATCAAAATAAAGACCATCACTTGCCTGTTTGGTTGAATTCTCTCTAGCGTCTCCATGTTGGAGACCCGGTGCTTACGTCCAATCCCTTCTAGCACTCACAGAGATACAAAATTCTGATTTCTTGTTTGTTAGAGTCCTCACAAAGTTGCCTTTAATCTTAAATTCGTTTAGTATAGCTCAGTCCAAACTCGCTGGTAACCCAGCACGGCTGGCAAAGCTCCTTGCGTGTATTTTTGATTCCTTTTTGCAACAAAGGAGTGCGCGAGCTTTTTAGGGCTCTTTATTCACAATCTTAGCCTGCAGCGCCACCCTGCGTCTCGATTGAGAAATTAATATTCTCAAGTCAAAGCATATTTTGGTAGTGTTCAAAATGTAAGCTATTTTTTAAAGTGTTTAGAACTTTCACAAACTTTTTTATTCCATTAAATTGCATTATTTATAAGGTTACACATTATATTGCATGAGCTAGAGTAATTGTGAGCACAATGCGAGAGGATACCCTGGTCTCCCCACACTCTAATCATTGGAACTTCAAAGAACTCCATTTCCCCTTTACCTAATCTAACCAGGGGAGATAAACTCTTATAAAATTATAATTCATAATAGTTAATATTTGTTTATTTCCAAGTATGTGAGGAATTTATGATTATGCAAAAGTTTGTTAAGGTGTTTGGTGTCTCGTGGTCTCAGGGAGACTATTTTTCAAAGGGAAGTTTCTGTGTCCCTACACTGCTGTACAAAAAGTAGTATAAATGAAGAGGCATTTTGCTTTGTTATAAGTCCTTTTACAGTGTGAACTCACATTAATTTTAAAAGGAAATCAAACAGTACTAGAGTCAGATCCTCAGACCTGGATAAGAAATGAAAGGGGTTTTACAGATAAGGAAACTGAAGCTCAGAGGGTGATAGGACTTGATTACTTGACTATTATCAGAATAATATAAAGACAAAATCAAGTGAGTAAAAATCATTAAATTTTGTTAAGGTAAAGGCTTTAAGTTTAAACTTACTTAGATAGATATCTCTATTTTATAATAAGTTTACTTCATACTATATTCATCCTTTATATCCCAGATACAATATTCTTCAACCAGCTGATTTGGGCCAAATAAGAAGCCCTGATTTAAAGCATTTTAATCTGTGAGCAAAGGGTGCCTCAGGCCTTGTCTATTCATATATCATAAAGAGGAGAGACTTATTTATAAAATGAATTCCAGCACAGTGTGCAGCTATTGTGATTGCCCTGATATAGTAAGTTAACTGAGATACAGTTAAGCAGTTTATTGGTTACAATTAGTATATTGAGTGGAGTACCACTTATTTTGGCACATACAGGATTTTCCCTTCTTAAATATCTTGGCATTTTATTTATTTACTTAACTGACTTAATAAATTATAATTCATGTTGAATGAATTATTTTAAAAGCATGTTAATATTTAAATTCTGAGGGACAGAAAGTATTAGAAAAAATATTCTTGAAAGGAGCTTGGATTATGGTAGTCATTCAAAAATGTCAAATGAATAAATAAATTAATCCATTCTAATGATCATGTTTCTCTTTATATAAGAAGATTATTGCCAGATCATATATTCAGCCATGAACATGCCTAAAAATAAACATAGAATTCTCAGAGAGTATAATACATGCTAAGTACTATTCAATTAAATTTACTTTGATTCTAGTTCTAGTAATTAATTCCTATAAGAGACATAGCAATGGTAATAATAACATTAATACACTTTAGAATTCTGTCACATTTAAAGCAAATCAGAGGAGAATACAATATATATGATCATTAAGTGAAATAAAAAATGATGAAACACTGAAAAGAGCAAAAAGCAAAAATATTATTTTATATATAAATGGAAAACAAATACCCTGGGCAAAACAAAGAGCAAACTGCTTATAATAACCAAGCTCTAGTTAGATTCAAGTTAAAGTGTTCAGAACAAAACTCAAACCAAACTATATTTTGTTCACTTATTGCTATATGTTGACATTAAAATAGTGTTGCAAATCAGCTCTTTTCCGTTCCTTTTGTCAATCCAAAGCAAGTGAAATTTAGATAATATTAACACATATGTGCAACTATATGCTAGATATTATTCTAAGCATTTACACATATTAGTTCATTTTATCCCCCAGCAATCCTACGAGGTGGACACTCTTATTAGCCACATTTTATAGATGAAGAAATTGAGGTATAGAGAGTTTAAATAACCTGCCCATAATCACACACCATATGAAATGGCAAAGCTAGGATTCAAACTGTTAGTGTGGCTCCAGAATCTATTCTCCTATCCACATAAGGGGAATTGGAGCAGTGAAAACTCTTTAGATAATTCAGATCCAAACTTCAGCCTTGACTTGGTTACAGAGATATCATAGGTGAAATATTTGCGTTCAAGTCTGCACTTAATATAAGAGTCTTTAAAACAGTCTGTCTTCCTTTAGAGATAGACACCAGGAAAAAGAGGTGCTTACAAAACTTAGAAATTGGAAGGGAAATCAGTGGTGCTTTGTTGAGATCATTAATTAGGTAAAAAAAAAATAAGTGACATATATTATGAATTCCTTGTAGCCTTGATTATTGGAGAAAAAGATATCTATGTATGGATCTTTTGAAATGTTATTAGGGTGTAAAGTTAAAACCAAGAAAGACGACTTAAGAGGGCGGTCTTACATCATGGATTATTCCCCCCCAAAATTGCTAAACTTAGAAAGAAAATCTATTATGTTTTACCTGCATGGAGGAGGAGTTAATGACATCAAGGGTGACCTCCTGAAAAACCATTCTATTCCAGTCAGGAAAGTTGCATTATCCATCCAGAAGGATTCATACTACAACAATTTACACAATTTTCACCAGACCTGAAACATGACTTTTAAAGTATTTTTTCCATGTTGATTATACAGAGAGAGAGAGAGAGAATAGTTTTGGTTCCTCCTTGGTATAGTATAGGCAAGAACTTTAAATTTCCTTGAAGGAAAGATAAAAATCATTTTAAAGGAATTTGAATACAAGTAGGCCAAAAGTTCAAAATGCAAAATCCATACCCTGAAGTTTTGAATACTCTCACTTGTTTAGAAAAAAGTGAGAGAATCTTTTTTTAAACTTCATGATGACTTGAGGGCTGTTTTGTTCTTAATGTGAAGGGGGAGAGTAGAGGGAAATTAAACATTAGTTGTTGAGAGAAAGATTAATTGGTGAAATAGAAATTAGATTTTAACTAGTATTTTTAGTTCCTTAAATCAAACTTCAATAGTATTATCTCAAAATATTAAGCTAACATTAATAATTGGTCAATATTGATGGTTTATGGATTTTGTTAGAAATTCTTACAAATTTTTGAGATCGACTAGATAGATAAATTAGATACATCGGGCTGGCCATTTGAGTGAAATAACTATAAAGCAAATGATACTGCTCACTGGTGAAAGCAAACTAAAATTTAATATCAGTTAAAATTCCAAACTAAACCTTTAAGATAGTTTTAAAAATCACATTTATTGGGACACCTGGGTGGCTCAGTTGGTAAGCATCCAACTCTTGATTTTGGCTCAGGTCATGATCTCAGGGTCCTGAGATTGAGCCCAGCACTGGGCTCTATGCTGAGTGTGCAGCCTGCTTAAGACTCTCTCTCTCCTCTCCCTCTATCCCTCTGCCCCTCCCCACTCACAGTCACGTGCTCACTCTCTCAAATAAATAAATAAGCGAATAAAATCGCATTTATTGAAATGTAAATTTTGAAAGGAAATATCTAAATAATGAGAATTTTTGAGAAATTTATGATGGAATCCGAGATAATTTCTAATAATTCCTTGTAGTACATAATAAAAAGATAGTATTTGTATGTTTAATGTATCAAAATGTTCAAAATCTAATGTCTAACTTATAATACATCTTTGAACTAGAAAGTATGAGTCCTCCAACTCTGTTGTTCTTTTTCAGGGTTGTTTTTGCTCTCCTGGGTCCCTTGCATTTCCATATGAATTTTAAGGTCAATTTGCCAATTTCTGCAAAAAAAAAAAAAAAAAGCCTGCTGGGATTCTGATAAGGATTGCATTGACTCTGTAGACGAATTTGGGAGGTATCACCATCTTAACAATATTGAGTCTTCCAATCCATGAACATTTTCCATTTACTTAGGTTTTCTTTAATTTCTTTCAATGATGTTTTGTTGTGCTCGGTGTAAAGACTTGCACTTATTTTGTTAAACTTGTTTGTAAGCATTTTATTCTTTTTGATGCTATCATAAATGGAATTGTTTTCATTTCAGTTTTGGATTTTCCAATGCTAATGTATAGAAATACAATTGATTTTTTAAGATTATCTATTTATTTATTTACTTAGAATGTGCATAAGCAGGGGTAGGGGGTGGGAGAGGGGCAGAGGGAGAGAGAGAGGAAGCAGACTCTCCACTGAGCCAGGAGCCCTATGTGGGGCTCTATCCCAGGGCCCTGAGATGGCAACCTGAGCTGAAATCAAGAGTTGGATGTTCAACCAACTGAGCCACCCAGGCACACCTCCTTAGGATTTTCTTTATGCAAGATGATGTCATCCACAAATATACTTTAACTTCTTCGTTTCCAATCTCAATTATTTTCTTTTTCTCGTCTAATTGCCCTGGCTACATTTCCAGTACAATATTAAATAAAGCAGTGAGAGGAGACATCCTTGTTCATTCCTCATCTTAGGGAGAAAGTCTTTCACCATTCAACATGAAGTTAGCTGTGGGTTTTTATCAGGTTGAGGATATTCCCTATTCTTCCTAGCTTATTGAGTGTTCTTATCATGAAAAGGAATTGGATTTTGTAAAGTGCTTTTTCTGTGTAAACTGAGATGGTATGGTGTATTGCAGTGATTGGTTTTCATATGTTAAACCAACCTTTAATTTATGGGATGAATTCTACTTGGTCATGGTATATAATCCTTTTTATATGTTGCTGGAGTTAGTTTGTTAATATTTTGTTGAGAATTTTTGTATCTATATTCGTAAGGAATATGGTATATAGTTTTCTTGTATTATCTTTGTCTGGTTTTAGCATCACAA